CTGAAACAACCTGACAGAGGCTCATTCACTCCCATGAGCACAATCACACTCTCATGCCGAAACTGCACAAATGAAAGGGAAGGCCGCTGGATCAATTTCACGTCTATATGCTGTTCTTTGCGATTAAGAAACAGAAATGTCGTTTAGTTTTCACTTCTGATATTCGTCTATTCGCCCTGAATTGCAGGAGGCCTGTCATTACCAACTCAAACTTCCTGGCAACACTAAGCTGGGGGGCAAAGAATCCACTTGGGTCTGCCAAGATTCTGGTGTAGCTTTCACATTAAAGTAGGCCTGTACTGCTGCTTACTCAAAGCAATCCAACAAATGCAATCTGAATGCGAACTGCAAGCCCTGTATCCCTTCACAGTCCCATGACAGTCTAACAGTGTACAGGGGCCAGTGTTTCCAAGCCATCAGTACAAAAATTGACATCTGTGATTTAAAGGCTGCTGGAGGGGAGGGTCGGCATTTACAACTGTGCAGCACAGATCATGTCAAACGTGCTGTCAGTTCAGTACTAATTAAGGAGACAGCCATGCCCCCACACTGCATGGGTGTTGGTCAGGGTCAGTTCACCGGCTTCCTGTTTCCAACCACCAATGAAGTTATGAGGTTGACACAAGTGAGCTCAGAAAATGCCATTATTACAGGACAACTGGTTACATTTGTTCATTTAGAAAAACATCAAGTCAGATCCACTTACTTTCTCCCTTTCCGCATATTCTACTGTTCTGAATCTGATCTGACAGTGGCATTTCAACAAACGTGACAAAGAAGCATAAGCGAAGCTGCCGCGAGTCCCTCACTGATTTGGTTTGGGCATGTACAGCTCAGCCTTGGACTAGGGGCCCCACACGCATCAGGGAGACTCACTGCTCTGTCCAAGCGAGGCAGATCTTGCCGGGGAATTGGTGGAGGCACTACAATGGTTCAATATAGCATCATTGCAACTGGGGGCAGAAAACTCTCTGAAAGGGGCCAGAGTGCATTGCAGATTGAAGCTGATGGTCACACTTGGACCAGGATCCAGAAAAAGCTCCCCAACCTCGGCTTAACTAACATCAAATCTAGAACAGGCTTTTAGTCACTAAATACAGACAGACATCAAAAGGGCATTGGACATTGAGTGGTAGGGTGTGGGCGTTATCAAAAATATTTACTAAGAATAATGATGTTAGTGTCCTAAATATTACGTCAATTACATTCATTGGCAACACTCCACCCAACAAAGATCTAAGCCTTGTAACTGAAGTGAAATACTGTGAAGCAAACACAGAATGCTGGAGAAACTCAGCAGCAGTACTTGTGGGGAGAGAAACAGCGGTAACATTTTGAACCTGGTATGACTCTTCTTCAGAAGCCTTGTAACTTGTTCATCTTCAAGCGTAAAATAATTACTTTGAATTTTGACAGCATGGAGGATATTTATTGTTATATATGAGGTATCGCAATTATGCGAATGAGGCTGGACACAGCAGAGAGTCTTTTCATTCTCATCATATTTTTTGCATCTCAAATCCTTTGATGACTGAATAGTTTAATAGACACATGAATCAGAAATTTAGTAAAAGAAGAGAACAAAGAGTAAGAAACAGAATAAAAATTGAAACCAGGGCAAGCCAATACTGACAAAAGCTGACCTTTTCCGAGATCATTTCCTCTCACAAAGGAGTTCTGTATATCTTCACCTCAACACCCTCAACATGGACAGCTGTGGGAAAAATCAGATCTCCCACAAAAATACTGATTTCTGCAACGAGTGAGCGGTGTTTTCCCGAAACAAATATAAATCAGCCTAGACAGAGAATAGGCCTCACAACAACAGAGCGTCAAGCAGAGGTTAGATACTTCTCAAAAAGCAAGCCTTTCCTCTGAAAGAAATAATGAATGTCTGGACTATGATACTCTCATCACACGTCGGTTGATGAAATCCTTCTTTTGTGTACATTTAAAATGAGCCGGAGAATTCCCTCACACTGTGGAGGTTGGGGGTTGGGGGGGCTCTTACAAAATTCTAGATCGCTCTCAGGAATGAGTGCGTCAAGTGATGGCAAAGTGAATACCTTGATCTTATACAACTTTAGTATAAGCCTGGTAGGATAGGTCCCTGGAGATCAGTTCATCTCCAGCCATCCTGTCCATTCGTCATGATCACACATCCATTCCCACAATGCACTACCTCTCTGTGCCACCTTCACAGTGAACTGACTCCGAGGGAAGGGGCATCTTAATTCCAACAAACAACGGGTTTGGCTCAGGTGGAAGTGCTAGCATTTTCAAATATTAAACCTGACCACAACCCGCCCACTGCCTAGTTTAAAAGGAGGTGATGGAGAACAGGGAGGCGATCTGTTCCCCACAGGAGTGACTGAATAGTAAATGAAAGCATGTTTCCTGGTTTCGCTTCCCTTCCATGGCAACAGTGTTTGCACATCCTCGGTGATTCAATGGATGGGAAGTTCTTTGGAACATTTTGACCAAAATTTGGTGACGGGCTTGAAGGCAGGACAGTCCCTTAACCGGGCAGGGTGGAGGTGTACCACTGGGATTCAGTCGTGGGTGAGAAGGCTTGTCTTTCCAAAGACAAGTAAGTGGCTCTCCCCCTGCTGCCCACTCCCTGCAATTCTCAATCCAGAAACCATCCATCGTCCCGGGCACCACTGTCACTAATCACATAAATCAATGACCATACTTCCTGGTTTTCTGCAACCTGAGGTGGTTGTCCAGCTGCAACCATTACCACCTCACTGGCACATCCGACTGGAAGAGTTTCCAGTCTGGTAATTCTTGCTGGGTGGGATTTCCACATCCTGGATCTTAATTCCATGCCAATGCTCCCCTGCTGGCCTTGCCAGTGTCTGACTGGTGTTAGGTTTGATGGGTGTTTCTTTAAGAAGACAGCATGGGCCTCTTGCCACCTTTCCAGCCAGCTGATGACACCTTTGCAACATTAACAAGATTCTGCCCAGTATGGCGCTCGATAAATGCAATTTTTTTGAAAAATGTGTATGTAAACATGACTGAGAAACCAAGAAGTAAATGCCAACGTCCAAATACCTGAAAATTGGGCCATTTATTGGGAGGTCAGAAAAGTAGGTGAATTTCATTTTTGGCAAAGAGGGCTGATTTCAGTGCAAATGTGGTTATGGTTCATAAAAATAATATCATGGCACGTGTGTTCATCAAACATTTCGTTCAGTACTGCACCATATAGATCAATACCTTAATAATACTTCCACCCACTTCACTTTACAAAATTCAATGGACTGTTTAACAGCTGCTCGACCAGTGAGAGTCTGTCAACTCTGAAGAGCCTTTCAAATAAATCTAGCACCTGTAAATGCATTTTTCTGTTAACATATTAGCAAGCACAAAGAAAAATAAAGCCCTGGGGGTTTGCACAGCTTTCAGGCAATTGAATAGAAGTGTCCTGTAACCAAATTTGTTCCCACGCAGACATGTGAAGCTGCTGGAAAACCACTTTGGAGCAATTCACATCCAAAGGAAGTTTGAACAGTTCCATAAAAAGACTGGCTATTTGATCATAGAGAGCATCACCGATGCTACTCCCACCTGACATGCATGGTCTTTATAAACCCTCACAAACAAGGATCACTAAATAACCACTGGGAGCACAATTGCCAGTCCCCTGCACCATAAGGCCACTGAAATTAATTTTACCATCTAAACTGACTGTGGTGGACAGAGATTTAAGCTAGGAACTCTCTTGTCCTTGTGCTGCACCTTAAGGTACTTTCACCCACTTACACCTTCAGGGAAGTCACTAATTAAGGCCAATTGCTGGTGCAACTCGTTCTTCATGCCTCTCTAGATGAAACTTGGCAATTTGACATGCAACTGGCTACCATGCTTCAGGAAGCAGCAGCAGCAGAAACATGCCAACTGTGCAATGT